GGGGGGGGGGAGAAGAAAAGATAAGAAGAGTAACACTGACATTTTACAGAATGCCTGAGAAATCCTTGAGAGTCAGTCATCAAACACACCCTGTACTTTCAAAGGGCTTATAAATGGGACTATGTTTGAAAAGAACATCCCAAGTCCTGCTGACTCATGGTAGGTAGCCTGAGAAATGGTGCCCATGACCCTCATGCTGTGCCAAGGAGGATGGAGAAGCATTGCTGGGCTACATGGGCGAGTACAAACTGCACAATGGTCACACCAGAAAGATGAGGTGACTGTCACCTTGCTTTAGGGATGGGATGCAACTTGGAGATAAAGGCACCTATATTTAGATTTTAGGTGGTTATTACCTAAATGTGAACTAGGTGTCTCAGCTCCCAAACAGCCAAAGGACTAGCCCAGCTGATTGGACGCGGGTGTCTATTTCTGTGTACACTGAAATGGTCCTAGGTGTGGTCTGCTGGGTTGCCCGGGGCCTTACCTTAATTGCTTGCACATGGGCATACAGCGTCATTTGAGATGCCCAGCTTATAAGTGGTAGATGTAGATGTCCACCATATGGACTTAATTCTGGTGCATCAGCATAGACAAATAGTCCATTGAAGGTACTGTAGCTCAGTCACCTGTAAGTTAGCCACCGGCACTGGGATGGCATTATATGGGATACAAGAGCTGTGGGAGCTTCTGAAACACCAGCTCACACTGAATAACCCAGGTGACCTCAAATGCTCCTAGGCACCATTCTGTGGGCAATTAAATTAACTCCTAGGTGTCTACAGAGCAGACTTCTTGATCAGAGACAGTCATTCAGATTCCCACTATAGTTGGTGGGAAGAGTCACTTCCAGGGGAGTTTCAGTTGACCTGCTTCACGAAAAACCAAATCATACCTGAGAGTATCTCTTTCTCTCCAAGAGAAGTGAAGGGAGACAAGATAATGAATTTAGATACAGATCTTTACACTTGTAAACTGAAATACATAGCAAGTCTCCAAAATCATTTCAAAACAATCCAGTAGCAAAATATTGGTAAGGATGGAAGTTCCTTTGGGTGGGAGCCTGTTGGTAGCAAACCAGCTTGCTTTGGCTATACTGAACCCCGGAGAAGCAAGCCAATGCTGGTAAATGGGAAGGAGCAGTGGCTGTGGCTGACAGGAGAGGCAGGGATAGGAGCAGGATCTGATCCCTTCAGGTAGTAGGCATCCACACCTCCCCTTCCAGTCGTAGGACAGCAGGACCAGGTGGAGAGGAGGGCTGGGATATTTCTTTGTGTCAGCTCCGCTCTTTCCCCTTCTCACTGCTGGCGTTGCCTGGCCCTGCTCCCTCCCGTGGGGTGGCGATGCTTAGTGCTGCCCACCCTGCTCCACTGGCTTCAGTGTCACAGGGCTGAGCTGCCAGCAAAGGGCAGAGCACTGCAGCCCCTCTTGGCTCAGCCAGGTCGGGGGGAGAGACCACGTCTGAGAAGTTCAGGGACTGAGTTAGTATCTTTCATTAAGCCAACTAATAAAGCAAGTAGATGCCTGGGGAGAAACGGTGCTTGGCGCTCTGGAATGTGTCTAAATAACATGTTTATTTTTGGTCACTGATATCGGCTGCATCGTAAATATGCTTGTGCCATTCCTCCTGCTTAGCTACCTGTGCAGTACATTGACAACACAAGAACAGCCTCTCTCCCTGAAAAAAATCCCCCCTGGCAGCACTTATCGCAGTCATACTGAGCTAACATTACAACAGCCTCCACCCTGCTCTGCCCCGTCCATTTCCTTCATCTTTAAATCAGTTCAGGTATAAACATTATGACACCCTTGGAAACAGCCTGGCACCAAGGTGGCCGGTCTTCCTTTCAGACAGCTAGCTCGAAGCACCTCTGCCTTAGACAGGGAAGAAGATAAGGGCAGGGGGTGACATTTTTGGAAAGGCACATGTGGCACCTCAACATAACAGTGTTTTTTTCCCTTTTTCCCTGTGAATCCCCTCTGCTCTGGCTCTGAAAGCATATATCCAAGGATTACCCAACCCCCGATCTAAGAGTCACATCCTTTTCCTTTGGAAATGAAAAGTGTGGCACCAAAAAGCAAATGTTTTCTAAAAAAATTGCAAAAGAAACTCATAGTGGTGTCCTTCAGTGCTGTTATTTGTCTCTGAAGCCATACGCTCTTCCAAACTGCATGCTGTGCTCCCTGCTATTTCCATTCTCAGGAACGAAATAAACATTTCCAGTATGGAACAGTGATGTGCTGCTTTGCCAGGGACTGTTGGTCACTGCCTTCTCTCAAAGAAGCTTCCTTCTTTAAATGAGTAGGTTTTGGCCAATGCCATTCTCTTCCTGGCTCCTAAATGGCCGGATTCCTGGTACAGGGCATTCATTTACAGTGAAGGAGAGAGATTTGGGCAAGAAAAGGGCAAGGAGACTTGTTAAAATACTGAAGTTGGTGCTACTGAGTAGATCCTATAAACAGAGACTTCCAAACATGTGAATTATCTGTCAGAGTATCCCTAATTGGTGAGAAGACACTGCTTCTAGAATTATAATGGAAATGGGGTGCCTGGCCCTCCACTAGGAACATAATGCTCTGCCGTGCTGCAAACAGGATCACTTCTTTGTGCAATTTGCACAGCCTGCCTACTACCTGGAAACTGAGGGGTGGCTCCTGGAGTACCTGCTGAAACTGTGCCGAGTTCATGCCTTAGACTTGCTCCTGTCCCACGGGGGCAGGTGTCACACTGTCTTTCATACTCTGCAAGTGTGGAAGCTGGAGCAAAAACAGGCAGAGCACCCGTGGCTGTGATCACTTTGGCTAGGAAGAGCCTCTTCATACGAGAGAACTAGTGCTCTTCAGGAGCTGTGAGCAAGTTAAAAAAAAAGAATTAGATTTATCACCTCCTTTAGGACTTCCAACAGTATGCTGATAAAAATTTAATTCACGACAACTGATGCAGTTTCCTGGAGGTATCCTGTGCCTACCCGCTTACCAGAGCAGCTAAGAAGGCTCCAGTCCTCCCTATGGCATTAACCTCATCGCCTTTTGTGCTGATGTGTTCCCAAAGCAGAAAGTTGCACTAATATGAATGAGTGTAGACACACATTTGGGGAGAAGTGCATGACTTTCAGGAAACGAGATCTGAAAACATACCAACTGGTGAGGATGTTGCCCGATACCCCTAGAAAGGAAGATAAGCTAAGGGAGATCTATGAGAA